ATGGGACTTAAAAAGGCCATAAGGGTAATGAGTATAACGTTCTTAATCAGTGGTTTTGTCAAAATTCATATGTTACAAGGACTTCGAATCTTCACCATCTCCCGAGATCTAGCCTCCTTTAAGCGATTAGCAAAATCTAAGGGGTTATATTCAACTAAAAAAATGGCAAAATAGATTCAGCATTTGGAACTTATGACCGAGTAGACTTGCTTTACATGGTGGGATCTAGGTTGCATTGCCCTAATGCAATTACTAATCATGTAACTTTTTTTTTCTAGCAGTTTTTTTTAGATCTAGCGAATGAATGGTATAAACAAGCAGGTTTCCACCTTAAGATAAGTTAGCAATAACGTTATTTTTTGCTCGTATATAATTTTTACCAGACTATAATTTATTTTTAAAGTAATGTGTTTACCATTTAATACAGACTGAAACCGATTTTTTACTTAATATAATTTTTTGTATTTAGGAACAAAAAATGAGCACTAAAGATAGCACCACCACCACCTCCAGGACAAATAATAGTAATATTCCCAAGACCGTCTATCCTACCACCTCAATACCACCCAATCCAAGACCTAGCCAAAGGAGACCTAATTACAATCGTCAACCATTTCACAAATCGTAAATTTAATTCGTAGCATACGTAAACAATATTTTATCAGTTATTAATGCTTTGATTGATGCTAAACCAATCCGTTATTAAAGATAAATCTGAATCATAAGAGCGCAATAAATATTAAACGAAGCGAGTTTGATCTTCTTACATCATAGTCATAACATTTATTTTGTCAAAGCGTATCCAAATAGCAGTATATAAGGCCCATTAACCAATACTATTTTGAAATTCATACAACCTAGTGATTAAAAATATCTGTAGTATCTAATAAACTATTCTTAGAATTTCTTTTAGTCTTTGTTTTTTGAGCTTGGTTCTTTGAGCTTGGGGAATCGGAAGTAGTAACTTGATCTATTTTTTTTCGTGGAGGAGATAATTCACAACTATTTTGTAAATTTTGAAGCTGATCACCTAAATTTTCTTTATCCTCCATATATTGCTTTTGCTCTACAAACTCGATCATATCCCTAACAATCATCTGTAACCAAAATTAGTAGACTTAAGCAATTACAAGTACAAGTGCTTATACAAAAAAGTACATACCTTCGCCTTCCATGCCAACATGATTACAGGAAGTGCCTTTGAGCCGAATTGTGTTATTTGTGAAGGAATTTCCAACATTTTTGTTCGAAGCACTCGACATGTATAGCCAGCAGGGGAATCCAATCTGAGTAATAATATCATCAGACCTAAATTATATTTAGAGAAATAATCAAATAAATCGCCAAACTAAACAATGTACGACGTAAAAAATTCCATTATCAGACCTACCCGCATGTATAAATCCAATTGATTGTAATTTTCTTATCTTGTTCTCTTCCATCCCAACAGCTACACAAAGAGAATAAAACATATCTTTCATCTTCGGGGTCTTTATACCTCTTTCATACAGTAGTTTTGTTCCGTTATCTCCATTAAAAGATTTACCGGCCTCTGAACATCCGTACTCAGTAGAAACCTTTCGAATGATGAGATCTCCGCGCCTTCCCATAATTTTTCTCTTCATTGAGACAATTGCAGATACAGTTCGATTACGATTTTTCCTATTCGAAGATGCCAAGCTAGATGACTCTGATCTGACGCAAAAAAAAAGATGTGAACCACTTATCTTAAAAGAATGATCATAATATTATCTTTCTTACCTCGTGGCTTCCACTCCATCGATATTCCCAAATCCTCTGTCTATAAAACTCCAAATATGAATCAAGAACCACAATTCCAGATGATTTCTTTCTAAATTTTCCGCTTCATATTCATGTAACCTGTGGATTAAGATAGAAATTCATAAACCAAGAATAAAAAGAGATAATTTACTACCAGTCAGAACCTACAAATTGTACATAGTATTTCGAATCCAATCGTGATCAAAATGTGTTTGTCGATTGTATGTAGAATCCCACTGCTGGGGTTTTAATATAGCATTTCTTAGGTCTGAGATATCAAACTATTTCAGAATGTACAAGTAAGTAAACAATCATAACATTATCAACAAGATAAATAAAAAACCTACCACCCGAAAACTGTTAAGATACGTTAATAAGTCTTGGGGCATCAGTGGCATTGGCTTAATTTTATATGTTCGAATTTCATCAAGTTCAGACTCAGTGAAAACTTCTTCATCGACATAGATTTTATCATTTGGATCGATTACAAATGAATGACATAGACTTTGGAAGACACAAAATGTTAATGTTAAGTGTCAAAGTAATATAACCAGAGCTTTTTCTAATATATAAAGGATGCTTACTGTTCATGCCTACATTTAATACCAAAATTGTAGAGTGCATCTTCTACAATTTTTCCAGTAGAAAGAGTCCATTTGTCCGAGTCATTCATTTTTGAATATTTTTTTTTGAATTCAGACAAGTCTATATTCATCTTCAACTCACTACCATCTACAACAGTATCATTATTATCGGAACTGGCACAGGACGAAGATTCCGAGCTATAAACATAGTCAGAGTCCGAATCGGATAAGTAATCTTCGGTTTCATCAGCTTCATACATCTCTTTTACAAACTCGACGTGAAGTGGTGAATCGCTTCTTTGTCTTTTAATATTTTCATCATCACTTTCATTACCGTGATCTTGATTTGTTGGGAGAGCTGAGATCTAGATGTTGAGAAGAAAAAGTGAATTAATTGCGCATGATGTTTGTTGTAGAGTATACGTTGAAAATACGATGTCGTGCCTTTCTACTAGTTTCTGGAGGATATATTTGTTGTTCGGGTTTATTATTCTTAATTCTTTTCGATGGCGGTAGAGCTCTTTCCTCAACGTTGATTTTTCTGGTAAAGTTTTTAATTGTTTTGTACGCTGAAATTCGTCCCGTAACTTCGTGAGTCAACTGTGAAGACAAGATCATCAAGTAGTTAGCCAGAATCTATTACAATATAACAATGACAAAAAAATCAAACGTACTCTGCCAAGTGAGGCTTCTACGTTTAACCAATACAACTCGCAACTGGTTGAATTTATCCACGACTGACAGAAAAAATAAGCAAATTAATCAAGCTAGTATATTCGTTAACAGCTTATGTGGAATTTTTATTACCTCGAAAGAATCTAGCAAATACTTCGCCCTCCTGCGATTGAAACTATTCCTCTCTTTTGCGATTGATGTAAGTAGCTCTTGCAATTTTTTTTCAGCAACATTACGTGAGTTATGTGAGTAGTTGAATTTTTCGTAGAAGTCCTCTGGTTTAAGGTCTTTGAGTTGATTGCGTACCCAAGTTAGCATTATCATTTATAAGAACAAAAAATTATATATCTGATATATCATACGTGAAATTTTTAAATAGGAACATTGTTTTGATTTCGCATTATACGTATTACACCTGATTTTGCGATCTGATTGGTCGAACAGGTATTTCTTAAGCTTCAGTCCAAAAATTCTTAACTTTAACGCGTTCGCAGATTGTCAGTGTTCCGGTCTGAAAACGACCGGCATATCAAGGGTGAACATCATTGAATGGTTGCGTGGCGACGCTGGCACTTTAGCGCTTCGTTGATAAAGATGGTTTTGGTTAGCACGGCTCACTTCTTTGCAATGGCCCGCCCCATTGCCACCACGTAACGACCTGATCTCATCTGTGGTGATATTTCTGTTGTGTTTTCGACATTTGACTCTGTGTCATAATCGATGTTCAAGGGTGGACTTAGGTCTATTATTGAACAGTTGTGTGGCGACGTAATGCATTCGTTGAAAAGATGGTGTGATCAGTTAGGCTCACTTCTTTGCAATGGTCCGCTGTTCTGCCACCATACAACGACACTTCAGTTATGTCTTCAGCATCTAGCTAAGCGAAATCATTTTATATTATCAAAAGTCTTGATACATATGCATGCACCCATACAACCACGTAATGGTAATTTAATTTTTTATCGTTGATAGTCACTAAAAATAACCTCACGGACGTTTAAATTATGACAGATTTTTCAATTCGAATAAATCAGACTAACCCGCATTAAATTTTATGCAGAATACTTTCGCACGTCGATTTCATTCTATATAACAAATATTACTGATACGAATTTTATATAATACTTTCTCTTATTTTATACGATTCCGTAGTGAGAATGAAGCCCAAAAAGTCTATAAGGGGAAAGAGTTTATCGTTCTTTATTAGTAGTTTTATCAAAATTCATATGTTGTAAGAACTTGGAATTTCACAGATCGTCAAGATTTAACCTACTTCACATTTGCGGGAGCGATCGTCGAATCTAAGGAGGTTTAATATACCTAAAAAATAATAAAATACATTCAGTATATGGAACTTATGGCCGAATAGATTTGCTTTATGAAGAAAAAAACTGGCGTTAGATTTGGGTAATGTAATTACTAATCGTGTAATTCTTTTCTAGCAAGTTTTTTAGATCTAGCGAATAAACAGTATAGAAATAAGCAAGTTTCCACCTTAAGATAATTTTTTCGAAAAAATGACTGTAATGGCATCATACATATAAAAAGTCATGATAAAAAACCGTGAAGAATTCTTCACGATCAAAAAATTCTCAATCAAATTATATGTGAGTTAGTACAGTAGTATACATCGATGTCCATACGTGAAAAATATTTTGGCACAGATGTGGCATGAGCAATTGACTGAATTTGTTACTTATTTAGAAAAATGGCACTTTGTTACGTAACAAATTAACACATTCACATCGCTTATATGTTTCCTCTGCTACTTTTTTGCATGTTTTACAATATAGATGTGAATGATGATTACATTCGTCACAGATATTACATCCGTAATTCCAACCTCTAAAGATATGCCACTTTTCGAAGTACTGGTAATTTTGTTTGTTTTTATATGTAGGTATGCTATTCTGATCTTTCATTGTGATATATTAACCGAAGAAAAAATAAT